GCTCGGAGCTACATATTTTTATTTCTGACCTTTTATTTTACCGACCTTATCCCGTCGCGGGATAACCTCACTCCTACCCGACATTCAGTAACTACATGGATTCTGGGTTCGCCCGAGTGCGAAAAATTGACGTTTATTGGGGATTTATTTTACTTTTTGTTTTTCAAGGTGTAATGCATTTTCGTGCTTTTAGGCAATCCTGATTGGTGATCAGCTATACCTACCGTGTTTGTAACTATATGGATGATTTCATTGTGGAGGTAAATTAAATAACACCATCCTGACTTAAACATTGAATGTCTTCTCGAACACTGGGCCTATGAATAATAAACGTCAGGTTAGAAACGGCTGCAGGATCCCCGATGGTCAGGGCTGGGTATAGATGAAAATGCGGGCGTCTGCCTTTTACTATACACTACATATCAACATCTAGACGGAGTGACAGTTTGCGAGGTATGATTCGCGCACAAATGAGGAAATGTGCCGCGTACCGATCAATTAATTAACTTTGAAAAGAGTGAGCAAGAGAGATGTTTTATAGCTCGGTCCTGGAAAGAAAAGGACGATATTGGCGAAAGAGCGTTTATCCGCCAATTTCAGCATTCCCGATGGAAACCGGCAAGATAAAGAACTAGTGTCCTAGTGGTTAGAATGCTAGACGTCTAATCCATAGTTCGCGGGTCAGAAACTCGGGTGACGCACCACCTCAGATTGGGTATGGCTGCTTGATGGCGGCTAGTCGCCCTAGTAAGAATCGGTAATGTTCATTAGCAAGCGAAAAGGCCACGGACTGCGACTCGGTTGTTTATAGCATTTGACTATGTATCGTTTTTAAATCCAAAGCTGTATGAGCAAACATTTAAGCCAATTAATCATGTAAGTCTACCGTTGCTTACAATATAGGCAGCTTGACAGATAACATCGATCCTCTACAAAAATGCCAGAGTTACTGTGGGTTCGACCCTTACTTTTCATGCTTCTTGACTATAAGACGCATGCGCTTCCAAGGGACTGGCTAAGTACATGCGTGAGCAAGTATCCTTTAATGAACACGCGAGAGAATTCTGTTGTCTGCGAATGCGCTCTGGCTCGTCTACAGAATTTGAAAAAAAAAATGGATCGGGAATCGTTTTACCATCATCATGGGAACCTCCTTTTTACACGGCACAAAGAAATCGTAAGAGTTCAAACATTGCGCAAAAATAACTTATGCAAAGGTCAGAAAATTTCGCCACACGGGGGAGGGGGACGGGTTTCACAGGATTGAGAGGTATTTCTTGAGCTCTACCATAAGCTTCCAGTCCTCCTTGTTGAGGTCGTTCCTGAAGAATTCCTTTACAATATCTATACTTTCTCTTGAAATCTGGAAGGAAAAAAGCAAAAGGAGCTTCTTTAGAGGCAAATAGTTTACATGACTGGAACAGTGTATTAAGCCTCAAGCAGTCTCAAAACGGCGAGTGTTTTTAGAACCAACGCAAGTTCTAGGGGTGTCCCCATTCTTACTTCCCAGCTAAAAGCTGTACATGCTACCCAGGTAGGGTTCCTATTAGAACCAATGGTTGAGCTAGTTTGTCCAGGGAAGGGCATAATAAGTGGACAGTGCAAAATATGAACGGAAAAGAACCTGGTACGCTTACAGAGTGAACAAATCGTATGAGTTGTGCATCGAATGCAACATTTGTGTTAGGATTACGCTACAACTGGTTATATCACAGTATCGAAAAGCATCTTGTAGAAGTAAAGAATAGTAAGGTGCAAGAGCCTAACATAGACTTAGCAGCTGCCCGAAATTTGGACAGAGGGAAAAGGGGTGCAAACTAACCAAAAGATCAAGCAATAAGGTGAGCGTAGAAAAAGAGAGCATACCTTCGAAATGAGAGTATCGGTATGGTCGAAATGTCGACCGAAGAGTTTTGGAGCTTCGCTCTCCAGTGGGTCGATTCGGACACAGACTTCCTGACCGGTGCGTGCTTCGGGCACGGTCTTGTGGTTGGATTCGATTGAGAAGACGCGACCCAAACAAATATTATCCCGTGTGGGTACACAAATTGGTGTGCCTTCGCGCAAGAGGCCGGCCTCCACCCGCACACCCATCACAATAGGAGCGCGCTTGTTAAATACCATGTCCGGTAGGATGGTCAGTTTCACTGGGAAGACGGCCTGATCACGATGCTTGCGTCGGTTATCCTTCATTAGTTCCTCCCTAAATAGAGATGAGACATGAATATGCAGGGCCTTATAAAGAGGATTTTATCTTTGGCTATAACTACCTTTCCTGAGATAATCTAATATTGACTATTCTCAGAATTAAGGTAGATGTGGAGGCACCCAAAGTTTTATTTCATTCACAGCGTCATCTTTGTTATCGTAAATTTAAAATTGCACCAAGGTTATGCCTTTATTCATAGTTGGAGAAGAAGTACAGGTGTACCTAGACAGATTACGGCCAACATTCATTCATTGTCGGGCGCCCAGCATATGGCCAACTTAACTACACCCAACAAGAGCAAGTAATAAAACTTCACAAGAAAAAGCCAAGGTCAGCAAGCGAAAGCGTAAGGCAATAAATCAACGCGTACACATATTCCTCCATTTTCTGTTGCAGGTGGTAGATAATTTCGGAGGTGAATATACGCACACCAACCTCGGTGGCGAACCGCTGTGCGTCCTTGTCAACTTTGACGTCGAAGGCGAGTATCACAGCCCATTTAAGGTCTCTCTCCACCATTATCGATGCTTTCATGACGTCCTTCTTGTGCACCGTGCCAACGCTTATGCCAGAATACTGAAAGAGTAGCAAAATAGAGAAATAATTCCATCTGAAGCGCATAAATAAACCTCCAAGGAAAGAGTTTGCTTTCGATATCATTTGGCAAGAAAGCGTATAAAGACGCGCACAAGACGTGAAGCCATAAAACGACTGTCTGGGTATGCCGGTCCGCGGTAATCTTACA